TGGCTCTTTAAATAAGCAGGCCATTAGCTGTGATAGGCAGCCTCCAAGATGGCCCTTAATAACCTCTACCACCTAATAGTAACACCCTTTTGTAATTCCCTCCCCTGGAGTGTGGGCTGTAGCTAGTGACTTCCTTCTCAGAAACAGTATGCAGCAGAGACACCTTATCACTTCCAAGATTTCATAACAAAAGGCCATTGCTTCCATTAGGAATGCTCTTGTTCTCCATTTCTTGGATCACTGTCACTGAGAGAAGCAATATGCCACGCTGTGAGTTGACCAAAGCTCCACCGGTGTGGTGAGGAACTAAATAAGGCTCTCAGCCCAGCACACAAAGCAAGAAGCCTGCAAACTACATAAATGAGCTTGGAGGCAGAACACTTTAGGTCCAGTGAAATCCTACAGTGTGAGACGTTGGGCCAGAGGCACTCAGCTAAGCTGCTCCTAGATTCCTGACCCACACAAATTGTGTTCATGTTTGTTGTTTTAAGCTTCAAAGTTTGGGGATAATTTGTTATACAAAAATAGATTAGAACTATTCCTAATCAATAGGAGAAAGGAAAAACAAATGTAGAAAGTTAGCACTGAAGAAAGGAAATAAACCAAATAGAGAAAAAGCCAGATTACAGAGGATACCTTGCATAACCATTGGTATATTGAAAATCTACAAGAAATGAATTACTCTGGCATTGCAAATGCCAAAACTGACCTGAAAAGATACAGCAAACCAAGAGAGAAAATTACCTGTTGGGAAAGTATTACTCTGAAAAAGAGGGGAGGGAAGCAAGCTTCTCTGGGGAGTTCTTTCAAATGGTCAAGAAACAATTTCTTGTTCAATTGTTCCAGAAAACAGAAAGGAAGTTGCAAATTGTTTTGAAGACAGTATAACATGAATCCATCACCCAACAAAGACAATACAAATTAAAAACAGACCAGTTTCAAAAATGGTTACAAAATCCTGAACACAGTATTAGTAAAAACAAGTCCAGAGTGCATTAAAAGAATATGTATGTATTTGGTACAATGATCAAAGTTAATTCAGTAACAGAAAATTACTCAATTAGGTCAGTGGAGAAAAACTGTATGATTACAGTGGATGTGAAAAATGCATATAACAAAAATACCAAAAGGTAGTCCACAAAGAAAGTGAGATGGGGGTTGCCAGGGGCCCGAGGGTGGAGGGATGTGGAGCTAAGAGGGTACAGTTCCATTTTGGGGAGGATACAGTTCTGGAGATAGATGTTGGTAACGGCTGTACAACAATTTGAGATGCCCCTGAAATGTACACTTCAAAATGTTTAAAATGGTAAATTTTATGTATATTTTTACAATTTAAAAAAACCAACATATTTAAAGTGACTTGTCAATAATCCAGCCTTTCCAGTGCCAAATTTTAGAATCAGTTTATACTATTTTGTATTTTAAAGAGCAAAAAAAGTAATATAAAAATAACCCATGTAAGATATTTTCCAGTGAGTACTGAAAGCCCTAGTAAAAATCGTTAACTTTAAGATTTGCTGCTTCCCTTTTAAAAGACCCCCCAGAAATATAAATATAAAAAAATCTTTCAGAAAGAAACCTGAAACCAAATCATCTACTTATGAATTACTTCACAAGTTTGTGTTTATGTGTCAAAAAAAACCCAGACTTCTTCCTTTCTAAACTTTCTATGCAGTTTTTCTCCAGAGGGCTTGTGGGTAAAACTGTAGTATTTCCAGAATATCTCGCCTGGCTTTAGTACATCTGCATATCAACAGGTGCTCCAGGGTGGAGAGAAGTATGGCCTTAGTGTATTTGCATCATTCCTCAGGGGTGTAGAGAAGTTCATCTGCATATCAATGGGTAATTTACCCGGGCAACGGAGGGCTTATCCGTAACCTGAGAGGGGAGGGGGAAGACCGGTTTTGCTTCTGCCACAGCAGGAGAAAAAGGCCCGTTATTTGTAAGCAATAAACGGATCTCAAGCTTTATTTCTCCCTTTGACTGATTTCGGTTTTTAGTTATTTTGCCCCGGGATTTCCTCTCCCCAGATTTACAGGGCTCGTTTCCTATGGAGCCTCTGAAATGTCTAACTGGCATTTACTATGGATCGTCAGCACTGATAAAAGATGATGGAAAATTAAGCAGTACCAAAACATTACTCATTCTCCTGCGTAAACTGCTTTTTTAAGTTTTAATTCACTAATGCATTATTGCCTTTCATCTCTAAACATGAATGGTTATAAAACATTCATTACATCTGACAACCTCTCAGGAGAAGTTTTCTATTTAGATGACTTGCTCTAAGATTTATAGTGTGAGCCAGCTTTTAAGTCTGGGAAAATTCAAGAGTTGTCATCACCCAGACTGAATCTCACGTCTTTGTGGCCTTATTATAAAATGTACATTTCATGCAATTCAAGACTTACTTCAGAAATACCATAGTTGTATCATCTGTATACATTAATATTTTTTACTTTCATACATATATACAAAAATAATGATCGCCAAAACACTTTCAAGCTAAAAAAAAAATCCTATTGTCAGATATGATTTTAACTCTGCCCATTTGTACTGTTCCTGCATTTTGACATCAACCTGTTACTCCAAATGAAAAGAAAATACTCATGTGAATTACCAGGAACTGAAATGAGAAGTTAAGGTTTTAATTGCTTTTTTTATACTTTTCAAAGTGAAAATACATTTAGTGGAAAACATTCAGCAATGTTTGCTGAAAGGCAATGTCAAAATGAACATTACCTAAAATCAAAATTTCACCTCGACAGGCTGGTTAAATTATGTCACCTTACTTAAAAAGAGAGCTACCGGGTCATTAAGAAAGAATGCAGATCAATAAGTAAATGTACGGTAAAGAGGTGTCCAGGTAATTTAAGAAATAAATGCAGTTTGCAGATATTTGTATAAAAATGATACCATCTGTGTGTCAGTTAAGATGAACACATCTTTGTAAAATTTATGGGATGTACTAAAGAGTTATCAGTAACTAACTTTAAGGTTTAGATTAAATAAGGGAGTTGTTTACTTTTCACGTTATGCTCCTATATTGTTTGAATTTTATATACCAACATAAATCTTTTTTCAAAAGATTTGAAATTTCATCTTACAGTTTAAATGACACACTCAGTAAAAATACACTGAAAACTATCTATTCACTTAATCTTCCAGAGCTTACCTACTTTGTTGCTTTTCTGGTTTGAAGACTATACTTTATCTTCTCCAACTTTTTTAAGATTCTTTTTTTCTTATTCTAAAATTAAAAAAGTTTTCATGTTTTAGAATTACATTCTCAAAAAATATATTCAATACGATATCACAGGTTATTTCACCGTCTTCGATGTTTACCTTCCCCGTTTTCATTGTGTTTTTATAGCAGTAGTGACAAATATCAACAGATGATGAAAGAGCAGAAGCAGAAAATCCCAACATTTCTGTGACCAAATAAATTGTCACAAGGGCCCTCTTTTTACAGCGTCAAATATCTTCTGAGCTCTCGAAAATACTAGCCAACAATGGTGAAAGCATTCAGTCATTTTAGATTGCTTAAAGTTAAAAGACGCACCCACGGTAGTGACATCTTGCCAGCTTCAAATTCTAAATATTAGTTTAGGTTATTCCCATCGATGTGTCTGTTCATCTTTGAGTCCTGCCACTTAAGTGCTGTGGATCAGTTTTACCTAATGCCTCTTAGAACTGAGGTTTCACATGTGGAAAATGAGCATAATTACCTACCCGCTGTTTAAGTCTCATGAAAACTTCTCTCAAAGTGGCTCAAAAAAGCAGCACTGCCTTTCCCTTCAGTGAAGGCTTCTTACAAGTCGTCCCGGACCCCCTGCGCACGGTCCTCCACCACCTCGGCGCCCCCGCCCCGAACACCCGCGGGCACCAGCTCCGCCGGGCGCCGCGGGCCTCCCTGCAGCATCGCGACGTGCCCCGAAGCCCCACCCCCACGCCCGGGACAGGCGGTAACGTGCGGGACCCAAGCCCACCCTTCCCACCGTAAGCCCCTCGTCCCCCTCCCAAACACACCCAGTCTATCAGCCTGTGCTGCCGGGACAGAGGAGGGAGCCAGAGCCGCTTTCTCGGACCGGAAGAGAAACTCCTTAAACGCACCGCGGGGAGGAGGAGACAAGGCAGCTCCACAGGTCATATCTGCCGAGGCTGAGTGCAGCTCTGCGCCCCGCCCTCCTCCGCCCTCCTCCGCCCGCCGGACCTCAGGTGCCCAGGCGGGGCGGGGCCACGCGGAGCCTCAGGACGCAGGCGCAGTCTCCCAGCAACACTCCGCTGCGCAGCATCAGCCAATGGGGAAGAGCGCGGGGCCGCTGTTCGAAAGTAAACCGTCGGCAGCGCCCGCGCGCCCGGTCGGAGATGACCTGGGCAGGGCTGGAGGGCCTGGGCCAGTTTTCCGCCTGCGCATTAGGCGCCGGTCGCCTCTCGGAAGCTCTGCCCGCCTGCCGGGGGGTGCTTCAGTTTGTGGCGGCGCTTCGGGCGCCGCATTGTGGCTTGGGGTCCCTCTTGGGAAGCGGGATGGCGCCAGTGGCCCCGAAAGAGGCGGGGCCTGGCGGCAGCCGAAATTTCCACAAAAAAATTCACAGGACTACTTCTTTCCACAGAGCCTAGCTGGCACATCCTAATTCTACAGTTTGAAGCGCAGCGTCTTCCACTGTGACTCAAGTTCTTTGTACCGAGAAGTCGCCACCCGCCCTGAGGACACACGCACCCTAGACGACAAGTCCGTTCCTTTTGTTTACGGAATCTGGGTACCTGCGTCTACCAGAGTAGGTCGCTGAGCAGAAGTGGGGGCTTCTGATTACTTAATGAATTAGGAGGTGGAGATTTTGGCAGATAAATTAAGTCATGAGGATGCAGCCCTCAGAAATGGGCTTAGTGATCTTATAAAGACTTGCTTGCTCCTTCTTAAGGACTTACTCAGTCTTGGGTCTCCACCCCTTGACAACACAGCAAGATGGCCATCAGCAAACCGGGAGAAAGTTCTCACTAGAACCCAAATAGGCTGGCATCCTGATCTTGGACTTGCCATCCTACAGAACTGTGATATATAAGTATTTGTTGTTTAAGCCACCTAGTCTGTGATATTTTTGTTACAACAGCCCAAACTATGAAGAGACATTGTTTAACAACTAAACCTTAATCTTTCCTTTTAAGTCAATATGCACCTAAACGTGAAAAATCAAGAAATCACACTAAAGCATATTTAGAAATACAGGCACAAATACCTAAAGAAATGAAAGTGATTACTTCTGGAGAGCAAGAATCGGGAGTTGGAAAAGTGAGAGTTAGGGCTCTGTTTTTCATTACAAACCTAAACACTGCTGTTTTACTTTTAACTACTAGCATGCAATTCAAAATATAATAAAATTTTAAAGACAATCTTACAAGCATCCAGGCAGAAAATTAAGGTATCTAAAAAAGGCAAATACAAATATAACAGTCTCAGAATTCTCCTTTGGAAGATTGTAATTTCCAAAAATGGCCATGACAACTATCTCCCACATATGCTCCTCTGCAGTGTGATTTTGGTGGTACTCAGCCATCAAACCATTACATCTATTCTCCCCACCAAAAAAATCTATGGAGAGCATTCAACTGTTTGGACCAACAAGTTACAGCAGAAGTAATGCTGTGCTAGTCCAGGGTATAGCCCTTAACTAACCTGGCCAGGTTACTGCCTCTTAGAGCCACAAGCTCTATTTATAAAATCCAGATTGCTGACAAGAGAGACCAAGTGGAGAAGCAATGAGGTATCAAGAAATGTGAGTGAAAAAACCATCTTTGGCAGACCTTCCGATGTTCCTTAGAAGATGACATCTCCAAAGCTGTAAGGAATGCTGAAAGACAATGTAGCAAAGGGTAAGATTGAAGAATTCTGTACCAGCCAAGATGTAATTTATGTTAAACAAAAATACTCTTAGCAAAATCTGTAAGGTAAAAAAAATACAGGGCAGAGCTGAAGCCCTATACTTCCATTATCAAACAAAAAGAGTATAAAAACATACATCTAAAACAAAGAAAAGAGGAAACCCAGTTGAAGCAGAACAAAGATAAATGATGAAATTAATCAGAAAACAGTAATTGTTAGAGCTGATAAACCTAAAAGCTGGCTCTTTAAATAAGCAGGCCATTAGCTGTGATAGGCAGCCTCCAAGATGGCCCTTAATAACCTCTACCACCTAATAGTAACACCCTTTTGTAATTCCCTCCCCTGGAGTGTGGGCTGTAGCTAGTGACTTCCTTCTCAGAAACAGTATGCAGCAGAGACACCTTATCACTTCCAAGATTTCATAACAAAAGGCCATTGCTTCCATTAGGAATGCTCTTGTTCTCCATTTCTTGGATCACTGTCACTGAGAGAAGCAATATGCCACGCTGTGAGTTGACCAAAGCTCCACCGGTGTGGTGAGGAACTAAATAAGGCTCTCAGCCCAGCACACAAAGCAAGAAGCCTGCAAACTACATAAATGAGCTTGGAGGCAGAACACTTTAGGTCCAGTGAAATCCTACAGTGTGAGACGTTGGGCCAGAGGCACTCAGCTAAGCTGCTCCTAGATTCCTGACCCACACAAATTGTGTTCATGTTTGTTGTTTTAAGCTTCAAAGTTTGGGGATAATTTGTTATACAAAAATAGATTAGAACTATTCCTAATCAATAGGAGAAAGGAAAAACAAATGTAGAAAGTTAGCACTGAAGAAAGGAAATAAACCAAATAGAGAAAAAGCCAGATTACAGAGGATACCTTGCATAACCATTGGTATATTGAAAATCTACAAGAAATGAATTACTCTGGCATTGCAAATGCCAAAACTGACCTGAAAAGATACAGCAAACCAAGAGAGAAAATTACCTGTTGGGAAAGTATTACTCTGAAAAAGAGGGGAGGGAAGCAAGCTTCTCTGGGGAGTTCTTTCAAATGGTCAAGAAACAATTTCTTGTTCAATTGTTCCAGAAAACAGAAAGGAAGTTGCAAATTGTTTTGAAGACAGTATAACATGAATCCATCACCCAACAAAGACAATACAAATTAAAAACAGACCAGTTTCAAAAATGGTTACAAAATCCTGAACACAGTATTAGTAAAAACAAGTCCAGAGTGCATTAAAAGAATATGTATGTATTTGGTACAATGATCAAAGTTAATTCAGTAACAGAAAATTACTCAATTAGGTCAGTGGAGAAAAACTGTATGATTACAGTGGATGTGAAAAATGCATATAACAAAAATACCAAAAGGTAGTCCACAAAGAAAGTGAGATGGGGGTTGCCAGGGGCCCGAGGGTGGAGGGATGTGGAGCTAAGAGGGTACAGTTCCATTTTGGGGAGGATACAGTTCTGGAGATAGATGTTGGTAACGGCTGTACAACAATTTGAGATGCCCCTGAAATGTACACTTCAAAATGTTTAAAATGGTAAATTTTATGTATATTTTTACAATTTAAAAAAACCAACATATTTAAAGTGACTTGTCAATAATCCAGCCTTTCCAGTGCCAAATTTTAGAATCAGTTTATACTATTTTGTATTTTAAAGAGCAAAAAAAGTAATATAAAAATAACCCATGTAAGATATTTTCCAGTGAGTACTGAAAGCCCTAGTAAAAATCGTTAACTTTAAGATTTGCTGCTTCCCTTTTAAAAGACCCCCCAGAAATATAAATATAAAAAAATCTTTCAGAAAGAAACCTGAAACCAAATCATCTACTTATGAATTACTTCACAAGTTTGTGTTTATGTGTCAAAAAAAACCCAGACTTCTTCCTTTCTAAACTTTCTATGCAGTTTTTCTCCAGAGGGCTTGTGGGTAAAACTGTAGTATTTCCAGAATATCTCGCCTGGCTTTAGTACATCTGCATATCAACAGGTGCTCCAGGGTGGAGAGAAGTATGGCCTTAGTGTATTTGCATCATTCCTCAGGGGTGTAGAGAAGTTCATCTGCATATCAATGGGTAATTTACCCGGGCAACGGAGGGCTTATCCGTAACCTGAGAGGGGAGGGGGAAGACCGGTTTTGCTTCTGCCACAGCAGGAGAAAAAGGCCCGTTATTTGTAAGCAATAAACGGATCTCAAGCTTTATTTCTCCCTTTGACTGATTTCGGTTTTTAGTTATTTTGCCCCGGGATTTCCTCTCCCCAGATTTACAGGGCTCGTTTCCTATGGAGCCTCTGAAATGTCTAACTGGCATTTACTATGGATCGTCAGCACTGATAAAAGATGATGGAAAATTAAGCAGTACCAAAACATTACTCATTCTCCTGCGTAAACTGCTTTTTTAAGTTTTAATTCACTAATGCATTATTGCCTTTCATCTCTAAACATGAATGGTTATAAAACATTCATTACATCTGACAACCTCTCAGGAGAAGTTTTCTATTTAGATGACTTGCTCTAAGATTTATAGTGTGAGCCAGCTTTTAAGTCTGGGAAAATTCAAGAGTTGTCATCACCCAGACTGAATCTCACGTCTTTGTGGCCTTATTATAAAATGTACATTTCATGCAATTCAAGACTTACTTCAGAAATACCATAGTTGTATCATCTGTATACATTAATATTTTTTACTTTCATACATATATACAAAAATAATGATCGCCAAAACACTTTCAAGCTAAAAAAAAAATCCTATTGTCAGATATGATTTTAACTCTGCCCATTTGTACTGTTCCTGCATTTTGACATCAACCTGTTACTCCAAATGAAAAGAAAATACTCATGTGAATTACCAGGAACTGAAATGAGAAGTTAAGGTTTTAATTGCTTTTTTTATACTTTTCAAAGTGAAAATACATTTAGTGGAAAACATTCAGCAATGTTTGCTGAAAGGCAATGTCAAAATGAACATTACCTAAAATCAAAATTTCACCTCGACAGGCTGGTTAAATTATGTCACCTTACTTAAAAAGAGAGCTACCGGGTCATTAAGAAAGAATGCAGATCAATAAGTAAATGTACGGTAAAGAGGTGTCCAGGTAATTTAAGAAATAAATGCAGTTTGCAGATATTTGTATAAAAATGATACCATCTGTGTGTCAGTTAAGATGAACACATCTTTGTAAAATTTATGGGATGTACTAAAGAGTTATCAGTAACTAACTTTAAGGTTTAGATTAAATAAGGGAGTTGTTTACTTTTCACGTTATGCTCCTATATTGTTTGAATTTTATATACCAACATAAATCTTTTTTCAAAAGATTTGAAATTTCATCTTACAGTTTAAATGACACACTCAGTAAAAATACACTGAAAACTATCTATTCACTTAATCTTCCAGAGCTTACCTACTTTGTTGCTTTTCTGGTTTGAAGACTATACTTTATCTTCTCCAACTTTTTTAAGATTCTTTTTTTCTTATTCTAAAATTAAAAAAGTTTTCATGTTTTAGAATTACATTCTCAAAAAATATATTCAATACGATATCACAGGTTATTTCACCGTCTTCGATGTTTACCTTCCCCGTTTTCATTGTGTTTTTATAGCAGTAGTGACAAATATCAACAGATGATGAAAGAGCAGAAGCAGAAAATCCCAACATTTCTGTGACCAAATAAATTGTCACAAGGGCCCTCTTTTTACAGCGTCAAATATCTTCTGAGCTCTCGAAAATACTAGCCAACAATGGTGAAAGCATTCAGTCATTTTAGATTGCTTAAAGTTAAAAGACGCACCCACGGTAGTGACATCTTGCCAGCTTCAAATTCTAAATATTAGTTTAGGTTATTCCCATCGATGTGTCTGTTCATCTTTGAGTCCTGCCACTTAAGTGCTGTGGATCAGTTTTACCTAATGCCTCTTAGAACTGAGGTTTCACATGTGGAAAATGAGCATAATTACCTACCCGCTGTTTAAGTCTCATGAAAACTTCTCTCAAAGTGGCTCAAAAAAGCAGCACTGCCTTTCCCTTCAGTGAAGGCTTCTTACAAGTCGTCCCGGACCCCCTGCGCACGGTCCTCCACCACCTCGGCGCCCCCGCCCCGAACACCCGCGGGCACCAGCTCCGCCGGGCGCCGCGGGCCTCCCTGCAGCATCGCGACGTGCCCCGAAGCCCCACCCCCACGCCCGGGACAGGCGGTAACGTGCGGGACCCAAGCCCACCCTTCCCACCGTAAGCCCCTCGTCCCCCTCCCAAACACACCCAGTCTATCAGCCTGTGCTGCCGGGACAGAGGAGGGAGCCAGAGCCGCTTTCTCGGACCGGAAGAGAAACTCCTTAAACGCACCGCGGGGAGGAGGAGACAAGGCAGCTCCACAGGTCATATCTGCCGAGGCTGAGTGCAGCTCTGCGCCCCGCCCTCCTCCGCCCTCCTCCGCCCGCCGGACCTCAGGTGCCCAGGCGGGGCGGGGCCACGCGGAGCCTCAGGACGCAGGCGCAGTCTCCCAGCAACACTCCGCTGCGCAGCATCAGCCAATGGGGAAGAGCGCGGGGCCGCTGTTCGAAAGTAAACCGTCGGCAGCGCCCGCGCGCCCGGTCGGAGATGACCTGGGCAGGGCTGGAGGGCCTGGGCCAGTTTTCCGCCTGCGCATTAGGCGCCGGTCGCCTCTCGGAAGCTCTGCCCGCCTGCCGGGGGGTGCTTCAGTTTGTGGCGGCGCTTCGGGCGCCGCATTGTGGCTTGGGGTCCCTCTTGGGAAGCGGGATGGCGCCAGTGGCCCCGAAAGAGGCGGGGCCTGGCGGCAGCCGAAATTTCCACAAAAAAATTCACAGGACTACTTCTTTCCACAGAGCCTAGCTGGCACATCCTAATTCTACAGTTTGAAGCGCAGCGTCTTCCACTGTGACTCAAGTTCTTTGTACCGAGAAGTCGCCACCCGCCCTGAGGACACACGCACCCTAGACGACAAGTCCGTTCCTTTTGTTTACGGAATCTGGGTACCTGCGTCTACCAGAGTAGGTCGCTGAGCAGAAGTGGGGGCTTCTGATTACTTAACAATTATCTTGTAAAGAGAACTAACTCTAAGAGCTAGGGGACCTTAGGATTCATTTAGTACTTTTGCCCTGCTTCGGTCCCTAGTCTCCAGCTGCTGTGCCTCTTCAGCACCCCACCCCTTGCTGTTTTTCCAAATTATTGCCTAGAGATGACGACTGTTGAACAGAATTCCTGACTTCCAATTCAGTTTCTCTCCTCTATTTCACCTTCTGAAGCCCCTAGAATCAGAAAGCATACAGTTCTGTTTCTTTTCCCTTTTTTTCTTGAGACTTTCCAGCTATTTCAAGTCTCATTGAAGCAGGGCAGGGACATGGGACAAGCATCATGATTAATTTTTCCTGCCTATGATGAAAAATGCTGAGATACAAATAGTATAGTAAGAACAAGAGGGACTCCGTCTTAAGGCTAAGATTCCATTTTAAAACCAGGGAGTTAGGAGATAAGATTCCTAACTTTTATGGTAATTAGACATTAACTGACCCCATCTTAAGGCAGGGCAAGCAGTCCTAAATGATATGTCCCCACTGCTTGAGGGTAACCACTACCTTGGAGAAAAATAAGATCGATAAATTCCTTGCGTTAAGTTAATTTTACAGAATATCTAGAGGACAGACTATGGATAATGACATAATGACTCTCACCAGAGATACACATCAAGAGACCAACTGTCAGGCCTATGCCACCTGTACCCCCACCCCCACCCTTCTGAAAAAGCCTTGAAAGACCGAATCCTAAGCCTTTAAGCATGCCTCCTCTCTGAGGTTGCCCGTGCTTTGCCTTAAATAAAGATTTCTCACTGCTCAATTTACTTGAGTTTTGTCTCTGCACTCTTCCAGTGGTAAGCGTCTTTGTTGCTTTGCTATTTCATTCAATTTTCTCAATAGTCTTCAATCTCCTACTTCAGACAAGTAGGAAAGGGCTACTGAGATCTCTGATTTGGACTTGCAAGTTCCCATTGCTTGGGTGACCCAGAAAGAACTGCAGCTGTATGATCATACTCTTTCAGTGGCCTACCCCAAAATCTCCTTTCTTTGCTTCAGGAAGTTTTCAAAACATCATCTCACTCCATCCAGTGCTCTGTGGCTCCCCCAGATCCTGGGGTGGTAGGGACTTAGTTCCCAAACTGTGCAGATTCAAGCAGACATGACACCAGGTGACCCTGGCTTCAGGAATTGGCAAGGAATTTGCCCTAAGCCAAGCAGATGTTCAATGAGCTTCTCTTTCCTCCCTCTGCTCTTCCTTGCTCTCTGCTGCCTGCATGGCTGTTGCCATTTGCTACTACTCTCACTTAATGAATTCCTTCCTTCCCTACACTCACCTGACCTGTTTGAGAATTCTTTCTTGATCAGAGTCAAAAACCCAACCCAGCCAGGGTTGAGGTTTCACCTAATGCACCAGGAGAGACCACCCCAGATCCAGCTGCCCAAGCACTGCCAAGCACACCCAGCTCCATCACAGCTTTCACCTCTTATTACACTTAAGTCATTTGCCACTGTGCTAAATACAACTACGAGCCAAGGATTCTGTGTATTGCCAGTACATTCGGGTCTTACTCCCTTATGCAGTAAATTACAGAAAAACACTAAGCACAATACAAAATAAATGAAGGTAGTATTGAGACAGGGACCGTGGGTGTAGTCAGAGTAGGGTGAGGACCTCTGGAAAAAGCAAGGTAAGATAATTACAGTCAGAGAAGTATAACAACATGCAAGGAAGCCCCCTACTAAAACTCTATGTTAAACATTAAGCTCTAGAGTGATTCTTTAGTGAGATTACTTAATATTTCCCAGACAAGGAGAGTATCTCAGCATAGCCCATGTTTTTATTATACCAGTCATTTATAATCATGTGTAAGATTCACTTTAGCATGCTATAAAGGACTTAATGTCTCATCAAGGACAAACATCCTAAGACCACTTTTAACAACTCCACACCCCTAAGCCCTTTAGCAGTTCCCAAAAATCCTCAACTGCCTATAAATCCCCTAGACAACACACCACCCCGGTTCTCTTGTCCCCTCCTGGTGCAAGTCAGGAGCTCTTTCCCCTTTATATCTAAATATAAGCCTGTCTCTGGCTCTCCTACCTTGAGTGTTTGCTAAGTTCATTCTTCAACTCCCCAAACAAGAACCCTGGCATCAGTATCAGTGAGTTCCTGAATCAATCTCAATTCAGCTACTGAAAAGGTTGCATATGATATGTAGATTCCAGCAATAACAGATTCTCACTGTTGCATGGTAGTATATATCCATTCTGACTTCATGAGCATACATTTTCTGTTTAAACACTGGAGTCATCCTGATATCTTTTTAACTTCCAGTCAAAACAATATGTTGTGAATATCTTTCCATAGCAATACATGCTGTATATTCTATAAAATATTCTCTTTAAAAAAAGTGTAACCATGGGGGGACGGAGCCAAGATGGTGGCATGAGTAGAGCAGCGGAAATCTCCTCCCAAAACCATATATATTTTTGAAAATACAACAAATACAACTACTCCTAAAAGAGACACCAGAAGACATAGAACAACAGCCAAACTACATCTACACCTGCGAGAACCCAGCGCCTTGCGAAGGGGGTAAGGTACAAGCTGCAGCCCGGCAGGACCCAGGCGTGCCTCACCCCAGCTCATGGCAGGAGGAGAGGAGTCGGAGCGGGGAGGGAGAGGGAGCCTGGGACTGCTAAACACCCAGCCTTAGCCATCCGCAGCGGAGCACAAACACACAGTGCGTGGTGTGCTGGATAGTAGGAAAACGGGACAGTAAAAGGTGCGAGTGGGTCCCCGCAGTGGGGCCCCCGGAACAAAGAAAAGTGAGTGCCCTTTGAAAATCTTAAAGGGACAGGGGCCTCACAGCTGGACGGAAGTGCCCTGGCACAATCAGACCAGTAGCTGGGAATCCCGGGGAACTCCGGATGCCCCAACCCCCAGGGAGGGAGCACAGCTTGGAGGCCCCTCATGGTGATAAACAGCCTCCAGCCCAATCCCCCTCTGGCATGACTCCACCACAGCAGCAGTGGCCACACCAACAGCAACTGGGCAGAACTTCCACGGCAGCTGGGCAAGAATCAGAGATCCCATCTGCTCACAGCTCCCCAGCACAAACTGCTAGGGGTTGCTGTTCTCCCAGGAGAGGAAGGCCACAAACCAGCAAGAAGGGACATTCTCCCAGCTGACACAGGCACCAGCTCCCCACAACTACCTCTATCGCCATGAAAAGGCATAAGAATTTAGTCCAGGCCAAAATAGTCCAGACAACCCCTGAGAAGGAGATACACCTAACCAATCTCTCTGAAAAAGAATTCAAAATAAAGCTCATAACCATGGTGATGGATCTTCAGAGAAATATGCAAGAGTTAAGGAATGAAGTCTGGAAGGAGATTACAGAAATGAAAAAATTTCTGGAAGGACTTAAGAGCAGACTAGATGAGGTGAAAGAGGCCATTAATGGAATAGAAATCAAAGAATAGGAACACAGAGAAGCTGACACAGAGAGAGAGATAAAAGGATCTCCAGAAAAGAAACAATATTAAGAGAACTGTGTGACCAATCCAAATGGAACAATATTTGCATTATAGGGGTACCCGAAGAAGAAGATAGAGAAAAAGGGATGCAAAGTGTCTTTGAAGAAATAATTCCTGAAAACTTCCCCAAACTGGGGGAGGAAATAGTTGCTCAGACCACAGAAGCACACAGAACTCCCAACAGAAGAGACCGAAAGAGGACAACACCAAGACACATAATAATTAAAATGTCAAAGATCAAGAACAAGGGCAGAGTATTAAAGGCAACAAGACAGAGGAAAAAGGTCACCTACAAAGGAAAACCCATCAGGCTATCATCAGACTTCTCAACAGAAACCTTACAGGCCAGAAGAGAACGGCATGATATATTGAATGCAATGAAACAGAATGGCCTTGAACCAAGAATACTGTATCCAGCACAATTATCATTTAAATATGAAGAAGGGATTAAACAATTCCCAGAAAAGCAAAAATTGAGGGAATTTGCTTCCCACGAACCACCTGTACAGAGTATTTTAGAGGGACTGCTCTAGATGGGAGCACTCCTAACGCTAAATAGATGTCACCAGAGAAAATAAACTCACAGCAAAGAAAGCACACTAACCAAATACTAAATAAAGACAAAAAATAAAATCAACTACCCACAAAAGCAGTCAAAGGAAACACAAAAGGGCACAGAACAAAACACCAAACATATGAAAAATGGAGGAGGAGGAATAAGAAGGGAGAGAAATAGAGAATCACCAGACAGTGTTTATAATAGATCAATAAGCAGGTTAAGTTAGACAATAAGATACTAAAGAAGCTACCCTTGAACCTTCGGTAACCACAAATCTAAAG